TTTTTCGACTTTTTCACAAAAATAACAAATAGTCAAGAAGAGATTACAAAAATTTTGCAGCGGCTGACAGATTTCATAATTTTCTTTGACAGATGACAATTAAACCATAGACAATTGCCATATGAAAAACACACTTTTCCAATATTTTTGTTTGCCATGAGATTCTGGTACACCTATANTTTGTCTAGATTTCATTACTTTTTAGAGATAAAGGCTTAAATGTCATTTTCCATGTCGATGATATTATTCTCGTTTTTGGGAGCACAAAGGTTGATCACGATAATACACTGAGATTAGTTTTGGAAAGATTGGTACAAGAGGGATTAACAATTAATAAAGAAAAATGTCAAATTGGAGTAAGACAAATAAAATTTTTAGGTTTTGAATTATCTGACAAAGGAATATCAGTGGACACTAACAGAATTCAAGCCATAAAAGAATTTTCTAGGCCATGTAATAAAGTAGAATTGCAGCGATTTCTGGGCATGGTGAACTTTGCTTCGCGTCATATTAAGAACAAATCTGAAAATTTAGCACCTTTGAATAGTTTATTAAAGAAAGATGTTGAATTCTGTTGGGGTCCAGATCAGGAGAAGTCCTTTATGAGTATTAAAGAGTTATTATGCAAATCACCTGTATTAGCATATTATGATCATACAAAACAGGTCATTGTCAGTTCTGATGCAAGTTCTTATGGTCTAGGAGGATGTTTACAACAAATAGATGTAAAAGGGAATAGACAGATAGTAGCTTACATATCCCGCACAATGTCTGAAACAGAATGTAGATACTCTTAAATAGAAAAGGAAGCTTTGGCTTTAACGTGGGCAGCAGAAAAATTTCAGGAATATATAACAGGACTAAAAATTGTTTTTGAAACTGACCATAAACCTTTGCTTCAGATATTACAAACTAAAAATTTGGATGATTTAACACCTAGACTACAAAGGTTTCGTATCAGGTTAATGAGGTTTTGTTATGATATAAATTATGTACCTGGAAAAGATTTGGTACTAGCTGATTGCTTATCTAGGGCTCCACAAGAGGGTGTAAATAATGACAATGATGACACAGATACTATATTCTTATAAATCAGATGGGAAACTATTTTTTAAAAAAAAGAAAAGAAANCCACCCTCGAAGAAGGCTGCACACGTTTCCGGCGTCCACTCCCCGCGCCACTGAACCATATGCTCAGCCGCCGCTTGAGTTCGCTTGCCATATGAACCCGCCATGAGCTCCAACTCATAGCGATGATGTGGGAGGTCCCGAACTACTTTGTAAGGGCCTCGCATGCCGGAATCCAGTTTGCCAGAACTTTGTGAACTTTTACCCACAAAAACAAAGTCTCCTACAGCATAAGTAGGTGGTTCGCGCCGCGTCGAGTTAACACGTTCATCTTGTTGACGTTGATTTGTTGCTAATAGTTCTGACGCCCTTTGCCTTCGGAGAGTAACTATCGCCTCGCGATTGTTATGTGTGTCGTCAAGAGCCACATCCCTTATGAGAGACCTTAGTACGGGAGTGGTACCTTCAGTCCCGATCAGAAGGTTGAGGGGTGCCATCTGAGTCGTAGCTTGCTTGGTAATATTTAACGTCAGTTGGATTTTCCATAAAGCTTCCGACCAACTTACGCCTTTAACGTTTACTTCGACTCGCAGCATGTTTAATACGGTTCGGCAATAACGCTCGACCTGACCATTCTCACAATGCATGCCGGGTGTGATTAAGTGTGTGGAGCATCCCATATTTAAAACCCAAGTTTGAAAACCTGAACCCTCGAACATTCTACCTTGATCAGATACGATCAATGTCGGAGTACCAAATAAAGACAACGCATTCGTAAAAACACGCTTAAGTTCGTCTGTGTCTTGCCTACGCATGGAATACAGAAGACAGAACTTTGAAAAGGCGTCTATTATTATGAGAATGTATTTGAAGCCGTCAGACTCCGGAAGCGGACCAAGGACATCCATGTGGATGGTAGAAAAAGGAACGTCGGGCTTAGTCCATGATTCAATGGGCATGTGAGGTCCACGGGGAATCTTTTTATGAGAAAGGCAGACCACACAATGGTTTACATACTTTTTCACAAATTGCCTCAGACCGGGGAACCAAAAATGACGCAGAATTAATTCGGTTGTTTTATCAATGCCAATATGTTGATGGTCATCGTGAAATACACGTAAGAGGCTCAGACGATGCCCCTTCGGTATAAAACATAACGAACGCGATTGCTCGCCAGTGGGACTGTATTTATAGTACAAGAGGTGGTTTTTAATTTCATAGCGGGAGGAATCTATCTGACCATCTCTCAACTTCTCCATCAACTCATGGGTTTCAGAATCGGCAGACTGGGCAATTTGAGCCCAATTGTTAGGCCTACGTATGTGTGAGACATTAGCCGGGTTACGACTCAAAAAATCGGCGTGTTGCATAAGGGCGCCTTTCCTGTACTCGATGGTGTACCGAAAGTCTTGTAAGTAGACCCACCATCGGGCAACTCGGGGTAAGAGATCTTTTTTACGTTCGGTCAACTTAAGCGAATTACAGTCCGTCACTATCTTAAAGTTAATACCGATAAGATAGTGCCGAAAATGTTGTAAGGCCTTCACTATCGCGAGAGTCTCGAGTTCGTAACTATGATATCGAGACTCTGCGCCATGTGTGGCCCTACTGAAGTAACCAACTACCCGTTTGCGTTTACCCTCATGTTCTTGTAATAGGACAGCTCCAAAACCGATCGCGCTCGCGTCTGTGTGCAACTCAGTGGGCAACTTCGGGTCAAATATTGCTAACACCGGTTCCTCCGTTAAACAACCAACTATGTATTCACGAGCAGCATCTTGCTCGTCACCCCAGATGAATGGGTGACCCTTTTTCGTTAATTTTGCAATAGGAGCAGTTTTGACGGCATAGTTGGCTATATATCGTCGGAAATATCCCGCGAGACCCAAAAATTGCCGCACTTGCTTCACGCTCGTCGGTTTTGGTGACTTAACCAAGGCCTCTACTTTCCTAGGGCTCGGCCGTACCTGACCCTGACTTATGAGCCTACCTAAGTATTCTACTTCGGTCTCTAGAAAAGAACACTTTTTCAAATTGATCGAAAACCCTGCTTTTGTAAGTGTCTCAAGGACCTGATGTAGAGTTTCGAGACCCTCATCTACTGTGTCAGACATAATTAACACATCATCAATGTAATTAAGGACTTTTCCGGTGTCTATTAACGGTTTTAACGTCTTTGATATTATCCTCTGATACACTACGGGAGCGTTCGTCAAACCGTAAGGCATTTTCAGATACTCAAAATGACCTTCCGGCGTGACGAAAGCGGTTTTACTAATGGAATCATCATCAGCTCTCATAGGAATTTGGTGGAAGCCTGTGGCCATGTCTAGACTGGTAAAGTACTTACTACTGCCAAGCTTGTCTATGTGATCGTCTATGAGAGGTAACGGAAACCTATCTTTGACCGTAATCGCATTGAGGGCTCGATAATCAACGCACATCCTATCAGACCCGTCTTTCTTTTTCACGAGTATGATAGGACTTGCGTACTCTGATTGTGACTCACGAATAATGCCTTTACTTAAAAGGTCTTTAGTTATTTCACGGACTCGCAACTTTTCATCCGCCGAAAGCTTATAAGGTCGATAGTGCACTGGCGAGTTACTATTCAGCTTAATTTCCATGCAGCCGGTATTAACAGTAGAGGTCGCGGTTCCCGTGACAAAAGAATTGTTATATCGATCGATAAGTGTAAGTAACCGGTTCTTGTCCTCGCCTACTAATGATGTTTTCACCGCACTACTATCCAAGCTACTTATTTGGCGCACATGAGAGGGATTATCAATCCTTACTAGTCGCTGAACGTCACTTGTACGTATATAAGCTACACCCTGACGATTTAAGATATCTGTGCCTAGCAAAATAGGAGCACTTATGCAGTCCGGGGAAACAACAAATAAATCGACTTCTAAAGATATCTCAGGAAATTCGATTACTTTCGTAATGTAACCTGTGGATTCTATTTCCTGACTTCCGATCCCGCGCATGACTCGATAGGTTGGTATAATACTACAATCGATATGTTTAAGTACCGCACTGGAAATCAGTGAAATATCAGAACCACTATCGATTAAGACATCGACTGGCACCTTCTCTATAACGGCAGTCATAATGTTAGTTTGAGAAGCATTCGTGATTTTTGTGCAAAAATTGACCTCATTTACGTTTTTCTTATTAGTTTCGGACCGTTGCTTCGCAAAACAGTGATCTACCAAGTGCCCTGTCTTTTTACAGAACGTACAAGTCAATGCCGATTTATTTGTGTTTGAGGCATTTGTGACTGTGCTATTTGAATTAGGCTTTTGTCTCTTAGGACAAAAGTCTTTCTTGTGACCGACACCATCGCAGTAAAAACATTTAAGATCGGATTTATTAGTCCCGCGTTTCGAGCTAAAACGGTTATCGTTATTTGACGAACGGGTAGGATTGTGGGTATTTCGAAAATCTGTTTTAGGTTTAGTGTACGCGGATAAAAACTCGACCAATTGATTGGGTTGTAATTTAGCGTTTGTAGCAGCAGCTTTCACTTGAGGATCACTTATGCCTCTTATGACAATAGCAGATTTTAAATCGTCCGACAACCCAGTAACAACATTTAATCGCAACAATGATTTACGGGCATACTCAGCATAAGTGGAAAAGCCTTTTGAATTTGTACACATTGTCTCAAATAAAATGTTAGCGACATCGATACTTCGTGGACAGAGTGACCGAAATTCCAATTTGAAATTAGTCCAGGTTCGATCGGACGTGACCCAGTCATTTAACCATGCGCGTGCATCGCCTTTAAGGCAACCACCTATGCGCGATAGGCACTCCCGATCGTCCCAACGATTTGCCTCGCGGCCACGATCCACCTCTGCACACCAAGCATCGAAATCGTTGATATTAGGATCAAAACTTGAAATGTAATAATGGTTCGATCTTACTTGTAACAAGGATGATAACGCGCCAACAATCCTATCCGTTGCGTCCCCTTCATTTCTCGACTCGCGACCGCTGGCCCGCGTTGGCTCCGCCGTGACCTCGACTGCAGTGGAGTTCGTCGCCTGGCTTGACGAAATGGGCTGCAGCGGTGGCGTCTGGCACTCGCGTGGTGGACATGTCGTTGCCGTAATTGTCGATGGAACGGATAGCCTATTCTCAATAGCATTTAGTCTTCCGAGAATAACATCTAACGATTGGTTACGAGGGCTATCACGACGTCCGTATGAACTATCGCGACGCCGTTTACTAGATCTATGACGACGGTTATAAGAACTACTTTCACGACTGGAACTACGATCTCTTTTCTTGGATTTATGTTTAGGCATTATGAACGCGTTCTAAATTATTAACACTTACGCAAATAATAAATTCCAAGATTTCACACAATCCACCCACCACCACAATTTAAAAATTTTAGCGTTTAAAATGATTCAGCGGCACACACAAAAGTTAAATTTTACACCGTTAGCGGAAGGCTACGTGGCCTATCCCACTTCTGATCTTATAAATCAGATGGGAAACTATTTTTTTAAAAAAAGAAAAGAAAACAAGAAATCTAACAAAAACTTATATTCCAAACGTTATTTTAAAATTACAAAATTACGATCTCCTAACAACCTAAGACACGTCCACCACTCTCGAGCGCCGAAGGAAAAGTGAGCTCCGTCCGTAGCAACAGGCAGCAACCTGCTCCGGCGCGCCACGATCACGCCACCGCTGACGTCACCAGTACGGGCTGCTAGGCCCCGCCTCTTCTTCAGTTATTTGTAATACAAGCATTTCGCTTCGCTCATGCAATGAACATGCACCCATATACTTTTGTTCGCTCGGCGACGTTCTACAGTCTATTGCTAATAAGCAGCTTACGAAAGCCTTACTTCAAGTCTAACAGCGTGTTTTAGAAAATTCTAACTTGCACTGAATATTTTATTAAAGGTGCAATTTTGTTTCATTATTCCAATTTATTTTCAATTGGAGTTAAAGTAAAGAAGCTTAAGGAGTTACACTAAGTTACTTTCACCGTACCTAACTTTAACAATAACCGGTGATTTTTGTATGGAGTTTGATAGATTTTTGACGTTTGTCAAAGTTAAAATAAGATGGTGCAACTCAGCCTAAGTGTTGTTATTCAGGAGATAAACGTAATTGGTTATTCCTAAGTCATCCATGATTCAGTACCTATTTAGCGAGCGTTTATTATGACTAAAATGTTCTGGGTTTGATTTCCAGAAAGGTCATAGAGTGAAAAGCTCTTAAAGGTCCTTTATTTTTTGCAATTAGGCTTTTAAAAAGCGCTTTTACATGTTGTATTATTTTATACCAAACTGTTTAACTGCCGGAACACAACAATGCTGTAAACGTTGTTGTGGTAGGGCACCATCTTACCTAAGTCATATCGCCATGATATGACTTAGGTAAGATGGTACCCTACCACCAACCAAACCGAACAAAAAAGTCTGCCCCCTCTGGGAATCGAGCCCGGGACTTCTGCGTCTGAAGCAGGTGGTCTTACCAATAGACCACAGAGACGGTTAAATTACCACTTCTGGTGCATCTAAAACTTGCTGCTTCCAAGGCATTCACAGTGTCACGTCTCTACATCATCGGAACAACTTCTTACGTATGAAGTGCATATAGGTACTGACCCTGATCAAAACTATGTAACCTCAAACGTATTCCCCATGGCTCTTGCTAGGATTTTCCTTGTAAGCATTGGGGCAAGGGGCATTCTTGGGATTTGAACCTGTAACCAAAGTAGGTAGTTCTAGAGAGCGAATTATAAATAACTGTAACGAAATTATCAACTTCAGCCTAAAACTTGAACTGTAAGTTAAATCTTTTAAATCTTAATTAAATGATATCCACTGAATCTCGCATCGAAAACAATAAACGTTGTTCACTCGAAACAAACTGCAGCAAAACATTTGTTTAATTGAACGCGAGATTCCGGATCCCGCGATTCCCGGGATTCCCCGGGATTTCCGGGAATTTTCCCGGGATTACTCAGTGTTGGCGCCATCGTGGCGTTTTGTAACGAATATGGTGCGGCTTATGTTAATGTTGATAGAATTGCTGTGTTCGAAAATGTGCTCTTGTTGGTTTGGCCCAATTCTTGGTAAACAACGAATGTGTATTTATTCTTTTATGAGCTTATCTTTTTAAAATGATGCCTGATGGACATTGCCAGAAGGGCCACTAAAACAAACACGAATGCCCAATATGCTAAGCAATGCTTAGCCAAGGGAGTGCTGTTGTTGTTGTCGTTGTAGTTTGTTCCGATTCTCACTAATGGCCATTTTGTGCACTATTACCTGGACCGGACCCATCTTTTTATATCACGGACATCTTATTTTATAGCGCATAGCTATACATCCATTTAAATACGCAATTTTTACTTGATAAAAAATAGACAATGAATACAGAGCTGTATCCCTTTTTTCCGTCGGGAAATGCGTCACACATGTCAACTGGTCGTCCCATCGGCCAGTGGGTTCTGTGGGACTCTCCCTGCTAGAACGGCAGGGCTACACTAAAACCCGATGGTGTCCACTAGAGCCCAATAAAACGAAACCGCGATTTATTATCCTAAATTGGACATTCATCCGCAGCTCCGTTAGTTCTCGCTCTCGAGTCGCTCCAGTACGGAATTATAACTTTTTTTTTCGGAGAAAAAATGCATTGAACTGCATACCCGCCGCTGTGGTCATAGCGACGGGTTATGTGGGGCTCTCTACCCACTGAAATAACCACAAATGTCCATCTCTCTGAGCATAGAGGAAGCACCGGTGTAGCGAGGCCTTGACCCGATTTCCACCTATGCCCAGTTTGACCACGAGGACATCTTTTATGTGGCGCTATTGCGCTCTCCACCATCTTGTACAGAATTATAACCTAATCTAACCTAACCTCTTTGTTCACAGACCACGCATCCGCCATAGTGGGCGATACAGCCCGCCTGCGGTGCCGCATCGATGGCAAGTCCTGCGGGGAGATGCACAGCATCAAGTGGTACAAGGCTGATGCGAGGGTGTACGTGTACTCTGCTTCGGGGGACGCGCCTGTCAGCAGGCCCGAGGGAGACATGATGGACAGGTACCTACACTTTTTCGTGTCCTCTAAAACAGTGTGCAAAGTTTTTGTGTTCAAGGTACATCTAGGAAAATGATTTTTTTAAGGTACACCACAAATAAAAAAACATTTTCAAGTCAAATTACCTTTATTGGTCTTACCCTTAGGTACTTATTTGCTAAAAATAAGTTTTAAGATATTAATCTTATTTTTCTGAAGCACACTATCTATCTAATGAGCACGGTACTCCAGTGTGCCGCGGTACACACTTTGCGGAACACTGCCCTAAAATGTAAAACAGCTAGCGACTTTTTCTGTATTGTCGTTTCACTCTTGGCAGGGCGGTCGTGGTCACGTTGAGGTGTCCATGTTGAAGAATTTTAACAAATGTTGCTAAAAATTATTTTATTAGGATAAAAAACAATTTATCATCTTCTTTTTCTATATCGTGTGAGTTGTGACAATTATATCTTACACAAAGCATGTTTGAGAAAATGTGGGTGCATTATTGGTGGTCATTAAAAGCGTGATCATTTCTTTATTAAAAAAATCACAAAAGTAGACATTAAGTAAATTTTCCATTTTGAAATATCAATATTTTTTTTGCATAGGTAATTTAGCAATTTGTAAATACACATAACTAATATTCCCGTTAACTCCTTGTGTTAAGCTAAATATGTTTGTGTTACGACGAGTGGGCTCAGCACAATAGTCGAGTGGCGGGTTTCGAACCCGCTTTCCTCGGATCACAAGTCGGCTAGTTCGACCCCTAGGCTTCACCGTTCGGCTATCATGGCTATACAAAACTTAAATGGTACTTTTATCAAATAACTAGCTGACCCGGCGAACTTTGTTCCGCCTTAATGGCAATAAATAAGCAGACTTTTTTTTTTAATTTCGAACGGGATAAAAAGTATCCTATGTCCTTCTCCTGGCTCTAAACTACCTCCCTGTCAATTTTCAGCTAAATCGGTTCAGCCGTTCTTGAGTTATAAGTGGTGTAACTAACACGACTTTCTTTTATATATATGTATATAGGGTCCTTCTAAATCAGCTACGTTCCGTTTAATGGGAGCATGTATACGTCACACTGAATACGTTCCCAAAGTTTGAGCCAAGAATTCAGGCTAGTTTCCGAGATAATTAAGGAAACAACTTCATTTCTTATCAACCCAATACAACACCCTGTTCAGCTGATTCACTACTACACTGACAAAAATCCGCACGCACACGAGCTTACGTAATGGCCGCCATTGCGCTTGTGCTGCCGTTGGGCCACTGGCCGCGAACACAAGAGTGCCGCCGGACGACGGACCGGGCGCCACACAAGCTATTCTAGGGCTACTACTAGTTATTTAAGGAATTAAATTAAGCAGAAAATTAAAGTTTATTTATTTTTGGTAACATAAAAAAATCTTATNTCTTTAAAAACGCCATCTATCGACGTGCTTTTGACGGTCGTAAACATTCATGAGAGCGAAGCCGTGAAACGTATCATTAGTCCTAATTAGGAACTAAATATTACAATTATAGAACTGTTCATAATATTTAAAATTTAGTCAATAAAGATATTTTATGTAATTGAATAATTCACTGTGTTTAAACGAGCAAATCAAAGTCTAAATTAGTGACCGCCATCTATCGACGTGCTTTTGACGGTCGTTAACATTCATGAGAGCGAAGCCGTGAAAAGTATCATTAAAAATTTATGTAATTGAATCATTCACTGTGTTTAAACGATCAAATAGTATTCTTTCAAACATTTAGATAATAACGTTAAAAACCATTTAAAAATCCTATGAGAACTTTTTCGACTTCTACACGGACGAAGTCGCGGGCAAAAGCTATTTGTAAAATCATCATCATCATCATTTCAGCCATAGGACGTCCACTGCTGAACATAGGCCTTTGTAAAATAATTAGTCGTTAGTCATTTCATTTATAAATAGGTATTACTTGGCTAAAGCTCAAACAGTTTATTAACTAGATGTCGTGTGACGTGTCGTCTTTTATATACAGCTTTTCACTACAAAAGTCGTGAACCTAACGCTAACATAGCGTAATTTTCTTCCGTACAGCGTTATGTTACAGAAGCAGTGGTAGGGTTAATATTGGGACGTGTAAAAGTGCTTTTTAAAAGTCTATTTGCAAAAATAAATGTAAAGTTTTATGAGTTTTTTTAGAGAATTTTATTAAATGTTGAACTAGTGTTATATGCTGCGGCAGTAATAGGATTGTTCCTGACAATCAATATCACGCTAACTGTACTTTTGATTGTTGTATGAGGTCCAATGATGCTCCGACATCCAACTAGTGCGCCACTAGTTTCCAGAACTCGGTAATCAAATTACAGAACGCTGCACGGCGTATATGCTCGCCAATAACTAGTTAATTGATAAGTTCCTTGCTTTGTAGTAGCTAGAGTTGTGCAAATTAGACAATAGTTTAGGTACGGTAATAACTAGTGATGGGTAGCTTTTCTCTTTGCTTTTTTCACCTGTATACAGGATGGGCCAAAATTGCAATTAGCAACGCTTGATTTCTCGATAAGCCTCCATAGCGTGCGTGCTTTGAACCGTTTCCGAGAAATCACGCATTTCTATTTGAAAAAAATTTTGGAACAACCTGTATTATTATAGGTGTACCAGAATCTCATGGCAAATAGGGAAAATAAACTTTGTTGAGAGCAATAC